CTAATGAGGACAGACACGGCCCTTATTGCCCGACGGCATCAGAGCTACCACGTGGCAGGGGCCCTGCAGGTGCTGCACAGGCCGGGGCCAGGAAGGGATTCATTCTTTACAGACACAAAGCCCGTGGCTCAGTGAGGGCCTCACACCGAGAAGGCCAGCGTCACTGCAGTCCCCCAGCAGCAAGTGACCCTTGCTTTGCCTGGCAAGCCTTCCACATATACATCCTGTTCACAGGGACACTTGCCACGCTTGCTAAGTAAATGTGTGGCCTTTGCAGCGAGTGCCTGTCCCAGCACAACACTCCTAACCCTGATTCACGTTTGGAGAGCTCCCACGCTGCCCTTGTAGACCTCACGCCTTCACAAAGCTTCCGACCGGACCCACGCATTTGCCCTGGAGGGGTTACGGCTGCACCCCAGGAAGGAAGAGCTGCTCTCAGGCCACTTGAAAAATTAAGTTTGCTCCTTCTGGGTCAAACATTCTGGAGCAAACCTCTCCTAGGACATGAGGAAAGAGAACATAGCTGAAACTCGCTGCTCTTGGGTAAGAGTGCAATTACAGTCTGGGAGAGAGAAATGTACTGGGGGCGTGTTGAGACTGGAAGCGAGGACACAGAGAGCCCTGGAGACCCAGGGGCGCTTCCAGTCGCCACCTGAAAAGATGCCCGCCCTGCATGGGGAGAACTCCTTTAGAAAAATGCCCCTGCCCCAGCACAGCTTACCTCTTGGGATAAATATCTCGTCTTTGTCCTCAGTTCCTGGCACACAGCTCCTAAAGCCCGAGGAATCTCGAATGTCTTTTGTATACTAAGATGACTAGTGGTTGCGGGGCGGGGTGGGGGTGGGGGGCTAGATAACATCAGGATGGAGACTGGGGGCCAGAAAGACCAATGCGTGGTTAGAGGGTAGCAGCTTTGCCACCTGGACTTCAGGGGAGGGCATGGCAACTAGAGAGGGAACACACCCATGCCTGTGATTTAATCAGCCATGCCTCTGTAATGGAACCTCCAGAAAACCCCTAAACAATGGGGTTCGGAGAGCTTCTGGTCCTGGGAGGGCGGTACACGTGGGGAGTGTGGAAGCTCCCCACCCCTTCTCCCTTCCCCGTCCCAGGTATCTGCCATTTGGCCGTTCCTGAGCTGTGTCCTTTATTAGACACTGATAATAGTAAGTAAAGTGCTTTCCCGAGTTCTGTGAGCTGTTCTAGCAACGATCAAGCATCTGGAAGGGGTTGTGGGAACCTGCCGCTTTATAGCCAGTTGGTGGGTACAGGTGGCCCAGACTTGGGGTTGGCGTCTAAAGTGAGGGGCAGTCTTGGGCTGAGCCCTTAACCTGTAGGGTCTGTGCTGTGTGGGTAGTTAGTGCCAGAATCGAGTTGAATTGTAGGACACCCTATTGGCGTCCAGAGAACTGGAGGACTGCTTGTTGCGTGCAAGAAAAACCGCACACATTTGGTGTCAGAAGAGTTATGAGTAAACTGCTCAGAAGCCCCCAATTCAGCCGCAGCTGCAGGGTGTGGACTGCGCATCTACCACAGGTCCTGCAAGGTGACTCAGATGCTCTAAGCTATGCAAGACCCCACTCTCTGTGCAGGATGGGGGGTGGGGGGCTTGCTGATGAGCCAGGTACTTGCAAAGGTAGTTGCTCTGGCACATGGGGGTCTTTGGGGGCTGCAGGAAAAAGTCCGAGCACATGGCAACTGGAAGGCAGGGGAGACCCAGTTCTGTTCTGCGAGGGTCGTGCCGGGAGACTCAAGACCAAACCCAAGCTGGGAAGATGCTCACAAAGGGAGACCAGAACCCCATTCTCATCTACTTGATTGAAGACGTGACTAGACACCAGACCAGAGTCATCCCTTTTGGTACCTCAAATGTCATCCACACGTCCCTTGTCAGGACTGAGTTAGGGGGATGAGAAACACAGACCCTGACAACTCCAGAGGGAGCGTGGAAAGGGGAGGGGGATGTCATTGAATCTCCTGTCTGCATTCCCTGGACACCTTCTGAGTCCTCAGACTCTGCTACGGTTCTTCCCTTCTCAAGAATTACACAGAGCAGAGAGAGCACATGACGTTGCTGGCACAGGATTCAACCTAAGTTTGGAACCCATGGCGGGTGTTTAGATCCTAAGAGGAGGAAGACACCGTCATCAGTGTCCTGCCCGACAGGCAGTCCTAGAGCACGAGCTCCTGGGACAACGCCTGTCCTTTGCTTAACGCAGGGATCCCCAACCCCAGGGCCGGTCTGTGGCCTAACAGGAACCCACAGCAGGAGACGAGCGGTGGGCGTGCGAGCGAAGCTTCACCTGCCGTTCCCCATCGCTCACGTTACCGCCTGAACCATCCCCCTCCACTGCTCCCCCCCCCCCCAATCCGTAGAAAAGTCGTCTTCCACAAAATCGGTCCTTGGTCAAGAAAACACAGGAGTCAAGAACTACGAAGAAACTTGCAAAAGCAAACAAGATCGTGTGCACTTTCCAAGTAGTTTACTGGGTGAAAAGCTTCCTAGAAGATAGTGTGGACAGCCGCCCACGGTCCTATGGGGGGGGAGCAGAGGAAGGAAGGCTGAGAGCAGAGAGGAAGCGGGCGCACTTAAAACAAAGCTTACGCACTTCTATATATCGTTTTTAACTTTTTGACGGGTATGCACAATTTCTGTAATGGTATTAAAACAAACACAGTTTAACTGTCCACTTTCCAAAGGATGCTTTTCCGGCACTATATATCAAGACCTTTAAAAACAGTCTATTGCCATTTCCAATCTCTGCTCCCTCCCGGCACCTCCAGGCCAGCCCCTGAGATCTGTCCCTCTCTTAACGCTGACAGTGTCAGAAATCAGCAAACAGAAACTGTCCACTACAAAGGGACCTGGGGTCTATTTGTAATAATAGGGCACTCACTGCACAGGGGCACTTCCCAAGCAGGGGCCTTGGGTAGGTGAGGCCAGCAGCAATCTGTCCCTCAGTCCCCCAGCCTTTGAAACTTAGGCACTGGAGCATCTGCTCGCAAGGCCCCTTCCAGCTGTTATGGGCTGTGCCGGTGTCAGCATCCTGCCTTGTGGCCACCAGTTTCCTCCCAATATCTTCCAGAGACTTCTCCATGCTTGTTGCAGGGATTATGGAGCTCTGTGACCCCCGTATCGGCCAAGGGTGGGGAAAGAGAGCTTCCCGGCGCTGCCCGGGCAGAGGAAGCTGGGCCAGCCCCTGGGCGACCAATTCTGGAATCCATGGTGGAGCTGAAGCGTGCGTACCTACAACCTAGGAATGCCACTCCTGCCCTGGAGATACTCCTGTTCTTGTGCCTGAGGACTCAGGAGACAGTCCACGGCAGCTCTGCTGTACTTGAGAAAAAGAGAAAACTACCTAATTATCCATCAGTGGAAGGTGGAAAAAGCAGCCCTGGTCCACCCAGAATCCTGAACTGTAGTTCCAGCTAATGAACTAGAGCGACACAAATCAACCTGGATGAACCTCCAAACTGTCACGTTCTATACGGAGAAAGCTTCTTGTGAAATAGTGCACACAGAACAATAAACGTTTGAAATGCCCAAACAATGCTCTAGCTGAGCCAGGGAGGAGATACACAAGAGGTGGGGTTCCAGGGGGCTGGATGTGAGCTCCTTCTGGGCCCGGGGGCCACCCAGGTGTCCCCTCCTTGCTGTCTGCTAAATGATATGCGTTTAATTTGATAATAAAATATACAGAGATACAAGGGTAAGCCTTGTACCTAAGAGTTTCTCAGCACTTGTACAGATACTTTTTGTTAAAAAAAAAAACAAAAAAAAAACCTTACAATTATTTATGGTATTTGACCAGTCTAATAAGTAACTTCAGCAATGTGAGCTGTTAGCAGCTATAAAATAAACTCGACGTAATATCTAAATGACTCAAATCTATATATCGTGTTATGGAAATTATTCACATATTATTTATATAACTATATATATAAAGAGATAGATATAATTCACCCATTTAAACTAAACAATTAAATGGTTTTTAAATATATTTCACAGCACTGTACAAATTTCACCGTTGTACAAATATATTTCACAGCATTGTACAAATTATCACCAGTTTAGAACATTTTCGTCACCCCCCAAAACCCTGTCCCTGTTCACCTGAGCAGTCAATGTTCACGTCCCCTCAAGCATTACCCGGCCCCAGCCCCTGGACACCACTAATCTACTTTCTGTCTCTACTGATTTATCTATTCTGAATATTTCATATAAATGGAATCTTACGTGTCCTTTCATGTCTGGCTTCTCTCAGTTAGTGGAGTGTCTTCGAGGCTCATCCACGTGGGAACACGTGTCAGAACTGTATCCTTTAGGAGGCCAAATAATACTCCATCATGTGGATGTGCCATATTTTATTTATCTAGTCATCAAGTTGATGGATCAGATTTTATTTATTTTTTTGATGTAAGGTGTCTGGCGTTTTCAATAATTCTAAGAATAAATTCCCCCACCCCAGCTTTTTTTCTTTTTTAAGTTGAAGTCTAGCTGATTTACAATGCTGCGTCAATCTCTGCTACACAGCAACGTGACTCAGTTATCCAATCCCACTTTATTTTTATTTATTTATTTTTTTGCAGTATGCGGGCCTCTCACTGTCGCGGCCTCTCCCGTTCGGAGCGCAGTTAAGTTGAAGTCTAGCTGATTTACAATGCTGCGTCAATCTCTGCTACACAGCAACGTGACTCAGTTATCCAATCCCACTTTATTTTTATTTATTTATTTTTTTGCAGTATGCGGGCCTCTCACTGTCGCGGCCTCTCCCGTTGCGGAGCGCAGGCTCCGGACGCGCAGGCTCAGCGGCCATGGCTCACGGGCCCAGCTGCTCCGCGGCATGTGGGATCTTCCCGCACCGGGGCACGAACCCGTGTCCCCTGCATCGGCAGGCGGACTCTCTACCACTGCGCCACCAGGGAAGCCCTCCAACCCCACTTTAAATTCGCTTCCTCGGTGAGGAAAGGCCCAAGGCAGGTGACGGTGCCCGGCTCACCTTCTCCTGGGCTGACTGGGCCACGCTGGACACCTGTCCCATGGCCAGCTCCAGGGGCTGCTGCAGCGGGTCCTCCTGGAAGCAGAGGAGTGGCGGGCCCTGGAACGGAAAAGCACAGTGAGGAGATGGGTGCAGTGCCAGGCAGGGTGGCTACTTTCTAAAGGCAATGACGTACTTGCCGCAAAGCTCGGCAGACCTCAGAAAATGTGGTCTGACTTCTTTTGGTTCAATCCATGCCTCTAAATAGCAGCAACGGGCAAATATCAGTAAGGAACTCAGGGACAAAACCAAAGATGTTGCAATAAAGTTGGCAAAGGATATTTTGAGAGTCCGTGTTTACGGTGTAAGGGGAGAAGCCCAGGCTCCTGGGGTGGACGGTGGGTCTGGAGATCAAGCACAGCAGGTTCAAGGGCTGTGCTGCCCTTCTTCTGGGAAAGCACTCTCTCCGGTTTCAGAGAATCACCTCTCCCTGTCCCGCGTGGGCGCCGGCACTCCACTGAGGGTGGCCCCCTTCTCTCCCACTGCCCAAACGGCGCGTGAGGGGGAACCCGGGGTGGGGGGGCAGTGGGGGGCTGTGGCTGCTTCTCCCTGGAATTTGGGATTCCTTGGCTGGAAATGAACTTGGGCCGGTGGCCATGCCCAAGGATCGGGTTCCTCCAGAGCTGCCAGGCTCCTGCCCTCCAGGGTCTCCTGGTTCAACCCCGCCCTCGGCTCTGTGCATCCCCATAAGCTTCCAGAAAAGTCCTCTGTGGCTTGTCGCCCTACGTCCATTTTGGTTCTTGCAATTAAAATCTCCAAGTGCAAGACGTGCAAGTAATCAATATGACCACAAGGCAACAAGATTGATGTTTTATAAAAGAACAAATCAGGCTTGGATTGCCAACCAAGTCTTGGCCTTTTAAAAATAAGTTCTCTTGAGAAGCTGAACACTTATGCCTACAATACGACCCCGGAACGAAACTCTTCTTAAACTCTCTTCCTGACATGTTCCAGAAAGTACATCATCGTCAAGTGAGCTCCGACTGACTGGTTAAAAAAGAGATTCAGACCCCCAACTTCCCTCCGTATCTCATCTATTTCTGAGACTCTCAGCTGTGATGTGCTGGTTCCAACTACAAGGTCAGATCAAGGGTAGGGAATTTAAATGGTACAAAAAGGCACCGAAGCTCTCCTGGCAAGCGCAGTGCAGAGGAACAAGAATGGAGTCATCACGGGGCTGTTTCTCAAGAATTCCCAGTGATCCAGGGTAAACCTACGAGGCACAGAACGTTGTCACTGACACGCTTCTAACCTCACCCTGTCTTAGCAACACTGATCCCACCCCCTAAAAATCATCAGGGAAGAATTAAGTCTACTTCTCAAGCCTGATGAAGTCGTGCTTTGGGGGCTGCTCTGCTGACATTCTCCACGGCTGGAGCTTGTTTTGGTGTGACCTGCTGACCAGGGGCTTGGGGATGACATCGCCCTGTGTGCCAAGCTGCGTGGCTGAAAGCGCAGCACCCAGCACAGAGCCTAGCACCAGGCAGGCAGCTGACCCCTTGCGGGAGTCGTTACAGCCGCCGGGACTGCGTGTGAAACAACGCACCTTCTGCACCAGCCTGAAGACACCACGTTGCCTTAAGCAGCCCCGATGCCACCTCCTGCCCCTGCCCGTCAGGAGGTGCCATGTATGCCCTCTTATGTATGACAGCTTCTGAATGAAATCCCTGGAAATATTTTGCTAGGGAAGTTAATGTCAAGGGGCAGTCTCACAAAGGAAATACATTATGAAATTAAAATAAGGACCCAGAGGTTCCCCTTCCCTTTCTGCTTGATCCTTGGAGTTTCAGGAAGCCCGGCGCGCATGCAGCATAACCACAAACTCCCACGTCTCTGCACCCTGTCCTCAGGAAGGCAGCCCCGTTCCGGACTCAACCCCACTCAGACTAGAGCAAGATTCTACATCCACAGGAAAAGCAACAGGCAGGAATTGCCAGGAAAACACTGAGAAAGCAAAACAAGAGACTAGCTCTCCTTGACATTAAGACGCACTCTAGAACCTCTGTGATTCAAAGTGTGAACACACAGACGACTAGTAGGGCTGGAACAGGATGTCCAGAATAGACCCCGACACGTGTGGCAACAGTATGTGACAAAGGTGGCATCCCAAATTACTGGCGAAAGATGGATTTTTGAAAAATCTGGATACGGGAGGAAACCCAGATAGAATGCAAACCTCACTCCACTACAAGTAAAGAACACGACCACGCGAAGGGTAGGGAAACAGATCTAACCTGAGAAACTGAAGAAAACAGTATATCCTGGCTGCACATAAATGCTAGAATCTAGTCAGTAAATGTGTTTCTCATGGGGGTACAGGTCAGCAATTCAGAAAGTAAGCTATGTGTAAACTAGAATTGACCAAATAATTATGTTACAGAGAGTAAGTCCCAGATATGTCACTTTTGGAGGAATAAGTTAGAGACAAGGAAAGGGGAACATGAAAATGAACTCTGTGCCGTTGACCTGGAATCCAGGATATAGGTATAGTCGTGGTTTTGAAGATGCAGACAGAGAGATGTGTGCACATGAATGTGTTAGCATCCACATATATATTTCCTAGGTCTGTCCGCTAAGAGGGTCTAGAAGCAATGAGACCCCAGCAGTAATGAGCACACCCGATGCGCAGATCTTGTTTTCTAAACACTTCTCCAGAAAAAGGAATCAGAGCTGCTTAGAAAAGTGGCTGAATCCAGGACCAGAGAAGAGGAAAATACAAGACGAGCTCAGAGCACACATCCTGTGGAACCATCAAGCAAGGAAATGCTAAGAAAAGAAGAAACTATGTGTGTGTGTATATATATCTCTATGGAAGAACACAAAAGAGCTTCTAATGGCCAAAACAAGAACAGTTTAAGCAACAAAATAAATAGTGATGGTACTGAATTATAACCCACGGAATAAAATAAATACCCAATGAATAAATGCAGAAGGAGAGAGGGGGACAGAAAATCATCATTAGGCAAACTCCACGGAAGTCAACGGCTGCAGACTAGATACACAGATGGATGCCAAAATCAGTGAGTGAAAGTATGAGGGGTGACAGGATTTGTACCACCTCAAAGTATCTCCCCAGGTTACGCGGTAACTATAGCAGGAAAGGATAAGAGGAGACCTAAGATGTAAGAAGAGAAACAGGCAGAAATCACCTTAACCAAGGAATGCAGGCCACTGCTACTCCCCAGCAGTGTGCCACACTGACACCACGCACCCCGTGACACAGCACACTGAAAGGGGCGCACCACTCCGTGGTTTGTGTAACTGCAGTCCAATTGTGTGAAAACACCAAACTGAGGAATATTTGGCAAAATAACTACCAATAGTCCTCAGAGTTGTCAAGGTCACAAAGAAACAAGGGAACACTGGGAAACTGTTACAGCCTGCAGGAGACAAACGCAAAGCAACAACTCAATCCATGTAGGACCTGAACGGGAGGGACCCTGGAACAATAAAGGAAAACTGGCGGAAAGCCGGTGAAATTCAGGCTGTGGCAAAGTCACCACGGTCTCTGCTGTTGCAGGCTTGCCCCGTATTCCAATTATAACTACCGTACCCCTCCCTCCCCCACCCCGCTCTGGGGACCCCCCCCCAGAGTCCCCTAATCAGCCACTGCTTTAACCCTGTCCTGTCTGGCCGGGAACAGATGCCTGAGGGCAACCTACACGTAGAGGTGGAGCCAAATCCAAAGCTGAACCCCAGGAGCTGTGCGAACAAAGAAGAGAAGGGAAATCTCTGTGCAGCCTCAGGAGCAGCGGATTAAATCCCCACAAGCGACTTGAGGTACCTGCATCTGTGGACTACCTGAATAGACAACGAATCAGCCCAAAATTGAGGCAGCGGACTTTGGGAGCAACTGCAGACTTGGGGTTTGCTGTCTGCGACTGACTTGTTTCTGATTTTTATGTTTAATCTTAGTATAGTTTTTAGCGCTTGTTATCATTGGCAGATTTGTTTATTGGTTTCGTTACTGTCTTCTATTTTTTAATTACTCTATAATTGTTTTATTTTAATAATTTTTTAATTTTAATTATTTTATTTTATTTTATTTTATTTTTATTTTTATTTCTTTTTTTCTCCCTTTTCTTCTGAGCCATGTGGCTGACAGGGTCTGGTGCTCCGGTCTGGTGTCAGGCCTGACACTCTGAGGTGGGAGAGCCGAGTTCAGGACACTGGACCACCAGAGACCTCCCGGTCCCATGTAATATCAATCGTCAAGCGCTCTCCCAGAGATCCCCATCTCAACACTAAGACACAGCAAGCCCAATGACCAGCAAGCCCCAGTACTGGATGCCCCATGCCAAACAACTAGCAAGACAGGAGCACAACACCACCCAATAGCAGAGAGGCTGCCTAATATCATGCTAAGCTCACAGACACCCCAAAACACACCACCGGCCGCAGCCCTGCCCACCAGAAAGACAAGATCCAGCCTCATCCACCAGAACACAGGCACCAGTCCCCTCCACCAGGAAGCCTACACAAGCCACTGAACCAACCTTACCCACCAATAAACAACAGGAACTACGAACCTGCAGCCTGCGAAAAGGAGACCCCAAACACAGTAAATTAAGCAAAATAAGAACACAGAGAAACACACAGCAGATGAAGGAGCAAGGTAAAACTCCACCAGACCTAACAAATGAAGAGGAAATAGGCAGTCTACCTGAAAAATAATTCAGAGCAATGACAGTAAAGATAATCCAAAATCTTGGAAACAGATTGGAGAAAATACAAGAAACTTTTAACAAGGACCTCGAAGAACTAAAGAGCAAACAAATAATGATGAACAACACAATAAATGAAATTAAAAATTCTCCAGAAGGAATCAAGAGCAGAGCAACTGATGCAGAAGAATGGATAAGTGACCTGGAAGATAAAATAGTGGAAAGAACTACCCCAGAGCAGAATAAAGAAAAAAGAATGAAAAGAATTGAGGACAGTCTCAGAGACCTCAGGGACAACATTAAACGCACCAACATTCGAATTACAGGTGTCCCAGAAGAAGAAGAGAAAAAGAAAGTGTCTGAGAAAATATTTGAAGAGATTATAGTTGAAAACTT